AAAATAAAATAAAATAAATAAAAAAAAAACAAAGCAAATTTTTGCCTAAATGGCACTAAAAGCATCTTTATTAATAGGAGGAATTAGACAATGGTGATCATCATCAGTCCAGGAAACACATTGTCACCAAAAAAAGAAATATTTAGGGTGGGTTAGGGCTAAGGAAACCAGTACTTGCAAAAATTACTCCTGGAAATGTCACCTAACACAGCAATTATCAAATGGGACCCAAAAAGGAGTCATTTTTGATCCATCTCCTTGACTTTTCAGAATATATTCAAACGCTATGATCATGAGTGGGGACGAAGATTTAACTGTGATATTCTATGTCACTGCATTGTTTATATTTGCAAAACATTAAAATATCCTAATATTCTTTCTAAATTCCCAACAGGAAGGGATTTGTTAAACAAATCTTGCTGTCACTACATAAAGATGTATCTACAACTGAGGCCTCCCCAGCAACCAGTTTTTGAATGTTGGTCTCTCCTTGAACTCTGCCCCACATGTCTAAAAGCTAAAATCTCAGGCCCAGCTTTTAGCTACCTCTCCACCTGTCCCACTGTATACCTGATTCCTTTGCATCTCTAGGTATCACTTCCCAACTGGCTTTGTCCACCCTCTGAGGGAAATGCCTAGACTTCTTGTTCCTACCCTTGTAACCAACTGACATCTCCTAATACTCAGCCATATACATATATCTCCTGAGGCAAGCCCAGAGAGATAGCCTAAGGGAACTTGTGGGCCCAGCCAAGTGCCAGGACACAAGACCAGGCCAAGAAAGAATTTATGACTCCAAGAAACAAGTCTGACATGCCCACATCAGTTCAGTGGCCCATGGTACTGCGTGTTGATGAAGTAACCTCTGAATATAGGGTGTCAGAGTGGTGAAGCGCGAATGACACTGACCGATGACAGCCTGTAATTTTCCATCTCTATTATAAGCTAAAATGACAGGCCTGATATCCAGCAGTGATTGCATGCTGCCTTAGAATCCTGTGGCATTTTCCCCCAGACACTCTTTGATCCAGTTTCCTTGCGCCGATATTTTCTTAATGCCCCGTTCTATGAGATTTTTCTCTCGTGGACTTGCCATGAAAGTATCATTTGACCATTTTTTAAAAAGGAAAATCACAGGAAAAATAACCCAGTGCTACTTGAGAACTGCCCCAAGACTAAAATAACAGTGAGCATCCCTCCACTCTCCGGCATTCAGCCTGCTGGCCCCCAACGAGAAGCCTGGTGAAGACTCAAATCTCAAGCCTGCCCGAGGGGGAAGGCCAGGTGTTTGTGTTTTCATGGAAGTGAGAGCCAGAGGCAGGCCCATTCCTAAAAGGCAGAACATCCAGAGCTCCAAGTTGTGTGAGTCAGAAGCCCCCCACCAGAGGCTGCCCTCACCCTACAGGCCCAGCCTTGGGCTGCAGAAATCTGGATCACTCTTTCTGCATGCTGGCCACAAAATCATGATCAAGAAACATGTCTCACTAGGCTCTGCCTCCTGTCCTGCCCAGAGAGTCTAGGCTTATCCTTAGGGACATTAAACCAAAACTTGCCCACAAGTTGACCAAACCCCTCACAGGACTGAAGATCTCCCTCCTTCTGGGCAATAGCCTAGAAGCTTAAGGCAGAGGGACACAGACTACCTGACTCAGGCTCAGCCTGGCCACAGGGGCTTCACACAGAGACCTCATTCTATCACATGCCACAGGACTCTCTCCTAAGCTGCCAGTGTGCCCTTCCCCTGACACAGACACAAAAGGGACACATACAGAGAATGCAGAGAATGGTTCTTACTGTGTCCTACCAAGTCCGGGGGGGGGAAGCAGTGCATCCAAGGAAACAGATCAGCCATGTTCTGTCACTATCAATTTGCACAAAGCACAGGCCTAATTCTTTACTTTTCACAGCAAGTCTTCTTTGTAAAACCATCATCTCCACAGCATCCTAATTGTAAGACATCTAACTGGCATGAGTAGCATCTCTGATGCATCCCTGCAGGGAATCCCTGCTTTCTCAAATAAACCTCAGACTCACAACTCTCAAAGAATATCTCTGTGAATAGGAAACCACAGACCAATAAACTAGCCCAGGGAACCTGGAACTGAGGGAAAATAAAGTCCCAGCAAACAATGCCACCACTTAATATTTTCATTATTAAAGGACTATCCCTCTTTTCCTAGGGTGACCTTTAGATTGAGAAGGTGAGAGTCCCTAGAGGGAAAGGAAGCTGTCTCTGAACAGAATGATGTTTTGGTTCCAGGAACCCCCCTCAGAATCTCCAACCACATCCCTCAGGTCCTCACTCTGTCATTGCAATGGCTGACACGGGGCACTGATGGCAGGCTGAGCCATGAAGGAGGGAATGATTGGGACCCTCTCTCCTGCCTCACCCCTTCCTATCCCAGGCAGGATGAGTGCCTGCCTGCTGCATTCCTGAGCAGTTGTGTTTGCTCCAATCTCTTCCTTGAGACTTATCCACCATCTCTCCCTCCCAAGGAGCGCCTCTGCTGGGGGCCACACCTGAGTACACAGGTGTCTCCAGGCTTCCAGTCCTCTGCCTGGATGGGCCCTCACAAGGACTCTGCTCTATGTTGTAGGTGATCACAGAAGCTAGTGCTGGCCAGGGCCAGCACCTCATCCGAACAACCTTTGCAGGAGTGGATGATTTCTTCATTCCTCCAACAAACCTCATCATCAACCACATCAGGTAAGCTGGCCTGCGGTGCCTCCAAGGACTTCATGCTCCAGCCTTGCCCAGAGTGGTACCTGTTTGTGTCTCGTCTCCTCTCTCCTCTCTCCTCTCTCCTCTCTCCTCTCTCCTCTC